AAGTTTTTGCATCTTATATCCTCTGTCCAGACATGTTTGCCAGTGGTGCTGGAACAGTGAGGACTCAAAAAAGGAAGCTAGAGGTTACCTCTGATTTTTGCTTTCTCCTTTCATTTACCTTCTGAAAGTTTGCACAATTATGTAGCAACTTATTCCCTGAAGGTCAGTGTAGGTTTCAGTTTTTTTTTAAAAAAAAAACATAATTAAACTTCTCATCAGTCCCAAGAAGTAGACATTTGCCAAATTAAGTCAATGATCTATATCTGGTGTAGGCTCTAAGGCTCCTCTTCTTTCTAAATTTTCAATCCTAAGTGGGGAAAATACTGCCTTTGAATGGATTAAATTCAAAACGTTTGCAGTCTTGAATTTGCCATCATTTTAAGCGTGCCATTCCGTTTCATAGTAATCACTATTTTGGGATTCTGAGGACAACCTTCAGCTGGTTACTTGAATCCATTGGGATCGAATGCAGTTTGTGAGCAGAGCTTTGACTGCATAACTGCAGTTTAGCTACTGCACCAGGAGGCTCAAGATTGTGTCTTCTTTTATGTGAGTTAAGCAAAGGCAAATAACTGGGAAAATATAGGGAGTGTTTCCCTGTGCTCTACCTTCTGAATCTGCTTGTAACATTGAGTGGTCTGAATTGTGGAGCCTGATGTTTCAATGAATCAACTTGGTGGTGGTAGAACCACCTTGATGGCCTTTAGATACCTAGTATATGGAGCCTATAACTACATGTTGCAGTAGGGAGGGTTCTTGTTCATTGCTCTAGTCAGTCAGGTAGTCTCACCTTCCTTTGTCATACTTTCTCTCATAAGACCATCAGAAGAGCCTTGCTGGATCAGGCCAAGGGTCCATCTAGTCCAGCTCCCTGTCTCTCACAGTGGCCCCACCAGATGCCTCTGGGAGCCCATGAGACAACTAGATAGCTGCCTCCTGATACCCCTCCCCTGCCTCTGGCGTTTGGAGGTCCCTTCTTTCTAAGCCTGGAGACTATACATCCCCATCATGGCTTGTAACGTGCGATGGACTTTTCCTCCAGGAAGCTGTCTGAGCCCCTTTTAAAGGCATCTAGGCCAGATGCCATCACCGCGTCATGTGGCAAGGAGTCTCCTCTCTCTCTCACCTCTCTTTCCATCCACCTCCTCTGCCAATGGTAGGTTGGTCACCTTTTGTGACCACAGAGAACACTCAGTCCTTCTTTAGCAGTTTCTGGGGTCCTACTCTTAGTTCAGACGGTGCAGTTATAGATGGGCAGAGAGACCAGGCAAATGGTGCTTCTAATGCCGAAGCTGCTCTTCACCGGGGCTGTTTTTTATGTGCCTTTTGAAGGTCAAGGAGAATCTGCTGTCTTGTAAGATGCTTCTGCACTGCAAGCGAGACGAGCTGCGCAAGCTGTGGATTGAAGGCATTGAACACAAGCATGTCTTGAATTTGCTGGACGAGATTGAGAACATCAAGCAGGTGCCCCAGAAGCTGCAGCAGCGCATGGCCAGCAAGCACTACCTCACGGCCACGGATATGCTGGTAAGAGGTGATAGCTGGTGCTTGACAGACAGCTGTCTGATCGGTGTCCTCCTGATCTGCTATCTGGGCCGGAGTAATTAGATCTGTCATTTACTCTCCTGTTGTATTGTTCTTCTTGCCCTTTTCTTTTGCCCTCTTCTGTCAGTCACTCACTCCTTCATTTTATTTTTTTATTTTCAGTCTATTAACCTTTTTTGCTCCCTGGAAAGCTGCCCTGACTTTGATTCTGTGTCCTTAACCTCTAGTCCCATCTTTGTGTTTCCAGTTCGAACACTGACACCTTTTCCCCCACATCTACCACTTCATTTTCGTCCCCATACTCTTTGCCCCAAGGAGTCTGCTTGGTCCCTTCTCCTTGTTCCTGAATGTCTGGTTTTCAGGCCACAGCAGTCGCCTCTTCTCTTCTTCTCCCTCTCTCTATGGCAACTGGTTCAGAATAGCATTTTGTTCCTGCCACTGCAGGATTCACATCTCCTTGGCCTCTGGCCTATCCCACTGTTTCTTTCCACATGTAGAATTCACCCTTATTTCTAATAAGGCAAGGGTCTTTTTCTTCTGGCCTTTAACAATGGGTAAATTGAGGAAAGATGACTTCTGTGATAGAACCCCTCTGTGTGTCCCTGGTGATTTGGGGGTGATGGTGGTCTGGGGGCATTTAAGGAAAATAACTGACTGCAGGTTGCACCTTGAAGCAAGCAAATCTACATCCCACCAGCTAAGCCAGTGCTGCTTACCCCATGATGTAGTAAAGTGGTCTTCAAAGTCTTTTCTACCAAGGAACTTAGAAGTCATTTGTGTATATTGTGGCTGTCAAGCAGCTTTTGATTTATGTCAACCCTAACAGGGTTTTCAATTTGTGTGTGGGGTCTATCAGTGCCATCACTCCCCATGAGTTTCCTTGGCTGAGCAGGAATTTAAACCCAGGTGTCCTTAGACTTAGTTCAGTGCTGGATCCGTTACACTGCTCTTGGAAGTCATCTAGTTTCCCAAAGGGAATACTGGAAATAGCAGATTCTCAGTAAGAACTGCAGTGAATTTGGTTGGCTGAAAACTTCTTACTCATGAAAGTTAATGAGGTCGAGATCTTTACTGCTGACCCAGTTCCAAGTTTCTTACCTTTCATCTGAACTTTGCCCTTTGGGAGTGCAGTCTCCCCTGAACTCTGATCATGGACCACTGCAGCTTCTTGGTAAGGGTGTATTCAGCACCACCTTGGGTCCTTTTAAGGAGAAAGGCGGGTTGAAACATTTTTAATTAATTAAATAAATAAAATTTGTGTTTGCTTTTGTGTGATGTGTGAGGTGGCTTTGAGGTATGGCTGCATGCATATTAATATCAACTTGACAGATATATTACTTGGTGGATCATTCAAAAAACCAGCAATCCGTTGATAGCTTCAGCTTGCTCCAAAATACTGTATATAGAGATTTTCATTTTTTAAATTTTTCAAATGCTACTTTTAATTAGTTCATTTGTGTTTCCATTCTTGTTCATAGTTTGGATGGTAAATCTGAGAGGCACTGTAGCTGAGTCTTACTCTCAGGAAATTTTCACAGCTAGTGCTGGATCCTGTATACTGGTCTTCCACACCCAGTATGCAATCCACACTCTCTCCCTGGTATTTGCTCCTGTGTGTCTCTATAGCTACAGTGTGGCAGACCTGAGATAGCCTTTTCTTTTGCACTGGACTAATTTAAAATTGAATTACTCTCTGTTTTGAGATAATCCACATCCTCACTCTTGATGTCATATGTAGGCTCCACCCCACCAAGTATAACTCTTTCCCCTATGTAATGGGATGTTAAATGCATCTAGAATGGAGCTCCTTGACTTCAGCCTTCTGTAATCTGTGCTCTCTCTCCATATCAGAACGGTGCTGTATAACTCTTTCCCCTATGTAAAGGGATGTTAAATGCATCTAGAATGGATCTCCTTGACTTCAGCCTTCTGTAGTCTGTGCTCTCTCTCCATATCAGAACGGTGCTGTAATTGTGCTACTGTTCTTAGGTAATTCCGTTCTCTTTCATTGTATCATCCAAGTAGTGTATAAAATAATTATTAAACTGTCAGGGATGCATAATGTTTCTGGATCTCCTTGTCCTTTGTCCTCAAGGTAAACAGCTGTTGGCCTATCAAAAGCCAAAAATGATCCAACAAAGACTCTGGCGTCTCTCATGTTGAAACGGGATAACTGATCAATATTGTTGCCTGTAGCTGTGCGATATGTGCGCTCTAAATTAGACCTTTGCAGTCATTGTAATGGTTTGATGCAAGCGCATTAATAGCATAATTTCTAGTTGCTGCATCGCATTTCTGCAGTCTGTTCTTTGTATTCCACTCACATTAATTGAAGTAATTTTGCCACTGAAGCGTGTTTCCAACCTCTGCATTTAAATTGAAATTTTAATTCCCTTATTGTTTGGCAAAGACGTCTGAAGATGGCTTGTTACAGGTTTCATTATCACTCAAAACACTCCAGCTGGTTCTAATGTACAATGATTAATTCTGGGAAGACTTATTAAGGTAAGAAAGGCAGCCCTTTTCCCAGAAGCAGGAGAAAAGAAGCAAAGGTATTTTGGTGACGGCTGGTATTTATATAAACCTTGATGAAGAAAAATGCATGTTTGTGGCTGGTTGTGGACATCAGCTTAAAAAGCGCAGAGATGAGCTTTACAAATTGTCTGGAGAAATTTGTGTGCCTTTGCTCCATGAATAAACCCAGCAAGAAGAATTTTGGCAAGCTGCAGCAATTGCCAGTTGCCCACAAAAAGGATACAGGTCCTCATTAACTAACTTAATTTGTATGCTTGAGGTAAGTCCTTGTTTTCAAATGGATTGGGATAATATGTGTTCTTCATTCTGTTCTTGGCCCTCCAAGAACACAGTTTCAAACCATACTGGAATTTACCGTATTTTGCCATGTATAAGATGCCCCCATGTATAATCCTCCCTTTTCTAATCCAAAATTAAGAAAACTAAGTGGGCTTAGCAAGGGTGTGTGGGGGGAAGGGATCAAAGTGCTGCAGGATCACTTTGATCCCTGCTTTCCCCTCCACTTGTTTTCTTTCCTCACCTTACTTCTGTGTATAAGACAACCCTCAATTTTTAGTCTAAAAATTTTAGACAAAAGTATAGTCTTATACACGGAAAAATAGAGTACTTCCCATGTAGGAGTAAAATGCTTGGAGGGCAGAGGGAGAGGGAAGTTTTTCCCACTGAGAATGGAGGGCACTAGGAGTGGACAGCTGCAGAGGGTTTGGGACCACATCTGCCCCATTTTTCACTTGGAATTTTCAGAAAATGCTGTTTGGGCCATGGACAAGCTCAGAAAGATTTTATAGAAGTGTAGCCCCCAGAGGCTTTTGAACACTTGATTCTCGTGGAGAGCGGCTTTGGAGATCACTTTAAAAAAAGTAGCAGTGTTAGTCTGTCTTGCTACATTGACAAAATTGAAGATGGGGAAGGGAAAAAAAGAGAGAGAAAGGCAAGACATTGTTTTAAAAGGTTAACATATATTGTAGTGGGAGCTTTCATAGATGAAAATCCATTTCTTCAGACACATGGAGTGCAAATACGTGTCCTTTCTATTTATACATATCTTTAGTTGTACATATCCACTTGCCCAGATGAGGATGCAGATAGACAAAATTGACAGTGGCTCATTAACACAGGAATAGGACTATCAAAGCTGTTAATGACTTGAATTGGCGGGTCCTGGCCATAAAGACGCATCCCAGCTAGCCTTGGCTGTCACAGGGAATGCAAAGAATTGTTTCCGACACAGGGGTTAAACTCTGTCAAGGGAGGGCTTGTGAACTATGTGCAATTCAAGGACTGGATAATTCCCATCTCTCTACTGAGAGAGATGGGAATTATCCTGTCCTTGAATTGCATTCTATTAGAGCATTTTTCTAGGGTATCAGGCAAGGAACTTTTCCTGCCACCTGCTTGGGAATGTTGGGGATTAAATTTAAGACCTTTTGTAGGAAAGGGACGTGGTAGCACTGTGGGCTAAACCTCAGAAGCCTTTGTGTGCTGCAGGGTCAGAAGACCAGCAGTCGTAAGATCAAATCCACACGACAGAGTGAGCTCCCATCGCTTAGTCCCAGCTCCTCACCAACCTAGCAGTTCGAAAGCATGTAAAAATGCGAGTAGATAAATAGGTACCACCTCGGTCGGAAGGTAATGGTGTTCTGTGTCTAGTTGTACTGGCCACGTGACCACGGAAACTGTCTCCGGACAAATGCTGGCTCTACGACTTGGAAATGGGGATGAGCACCGCCCCCTAGAGTCGAACACAACTTTACCTTTGTAGGAAAAGTACACACGATGTCAGTTAGCGATGACTCTTATGTACATGGTGTACCAGGATATGATATGGCAATCCAGGGTCTTCTGCTGATCTGTCTGGGGGAGAGATGTACCAACTGGAGTCAGGAATAAGGGCTGAACAAAGATCTGTGGCTTCCTTTTGAAGCAGAGGCTACAAAGTTATTTCCTGGCGAAGAGAATGAAGACTGCCAACAGAGTGGAAGCCAGCCCACACTTTATCTTCCCCTTTACTAACGGCTGCGCCCAGTTCCCAGATTATGCCCTATATTGGTGTGTGAGCATGTTTGTATTTCTGCGCACTCTACTTCTTGCATGAAGCCACTTGACTTACAGACTCTCTAAGGACCTTTCTGTAATGCACTTCTCTGTGGCACCCAGTGATATGGACTGCACCTGAATTTCCATTCTGATTTTTTTCCTTCAGGGAAAGAAGTGTGAAAAGGGGCACTTGCTCATGGCATTCCTCTGAGGAGACTCGGAGAGGAGAGAGCATAACATTAAAAGGAGATGGGGGAATTACTTTCTCGGTAACAGCACTTCTGAAATTAGTTTGGTGTGCTAGGGGAATAGCAGAGGCTGAATATGAATCAACGTTGTTCTGCTATGGCTGAAGAGCCAATATTGTTTTCAGTTTTATCAAAAGGAATGCTTATTCTCATGTGGCATAG